GAGCTCAATTCCCAGCAACCACATGGTGGCTCCCAACTACCTGTAATGAGATCTGGTGCCCTCCTCTGGCCTGCAGGGATATGTGCAGACAGAACACTGTATACATAACAAATAAATAAATCTTTAAAAAAAAAAATACAAGTGTCCCAGAAAACACCAACATTAAAGGTGATGGAATGATTATATAAAAATTAAGCATAGTTGTATTCACAAGACAATTGAAAATAAAAGGCCAGGAAAAACATTTTAATAAGCAAATGTTTTTAATTTTGAATATTAATGTTTTCAGTTTTATAAAGTGAAGGATTTTTTAATTTTTTTAAAATAGATGGAAAATGTAGTTTTATTTATTTCTAACTATTTCAGTTCTGGATGGAATATAAAACAGGACAAAGATCAAAATTTTGTATCAAAATAAATAAAGAATCAAAAAAGAAGGCTAAATAATATTTCTAAGTGGCACAGCATTGAATAAAGCCATGGTTATTTCAAGTGACTCATACAGAAAATTAGAACCATTCCACAGAAGTTAATATATTCTTCAACACACAGAGAGGATGGGAGGAAGTGATTCTGGGGACCTTCCTGGCATAGATGGGTGTCTCATTGTCGTTTTAACTGGCCATAATGTGTTTCATTAATACAATGTTTCCCGGCAAATGGGCCCCTTATATAAAGCTAATTATAGTGGATAATTCTCCTAAAATAATATGAAAAGCATTTTTGAGGAGCTTATGATCCTGAATAACTCCTGATTTAAAAGAAATAAGAAACTAACAAATAAAATTTTAATGTTCAAGATGTTAAAGCTGTTACTTTCAAGTCTTTGGGATAGGCCAAAATGGTCAGTGTTGAAATAGTTACATTTTAATTCTTTTAGGATAAAAAAAGGAATACAATTAAATTAACTGAGCCCTCAATCTGAAAAGCAAATTAATTTAGGAGAGGTTAAAAATAATAATTTAAAAAATAAGTATTGTTAAACTAGAGAGTAAAATAACTGAGTCCTGGCGAGACCGCAGAGACATGCACAAATGCACATTTCGGGTCACCTGAATTAAAAACATAAAAACAGACTTATGCAGATGCAAAAGTGGAAAAGATCACAAATAAAATAAAGGATGTGACTGTTAGATGTGTCGGTCACATGGCTAACATGGGAAGACCCAACCCACTGTGGGTGGCACCATTCCCTAGGGAGAGAGTCCTGAACTGCGTAAGAGCAGAGCTGAGCATAAGCAAGGGAGCATGCACACATTTCTCTCTGCTCTTGATTGTGAATGTGGATAGCTATTTTAAATTCTGGCCACCTGTTCTAAGTTGATTTCCCCATAATGCTGAATTGACACCTGAAACTAGAGCTGAATATCTTCTTCCTCCCATGAAGTTGCTTCTTGTCAGGGTATCTCACTGCAGCCACAGAAATGAAGGGGGAAAAAAGATATAAAGGCATGTTATTTTTAAATCCTTTCTAAAAATGTTTGTTATCCAAACAAACGCAAGGGCATCTCCTAGGCAGAAGCCAAAACCTATGGGGAAAGCTGACAAATGACCCGGAATCTACCTCCGAGAGGCCATAGACTCCAATGGGCCTCTAGATATACAGCTTTGAATAAGGTGCAGATTGTGTTTGCCAATTCCATCAGAACACAGAACACACCAGCCTGCCAACCCTGGTCGTGTAACTGATCTAATCTGGAAACCAATGCAGGCAAGGGGAAGAGAAGCCAAGAGAGGAGGGGAGAATATCAACCTAGAGACCAATGCTGCAACTATAGAAAACAGCATTCTAAGCAACCCACAGAGTGCTTTTCACAGTACTTTACAGTGGCCTGTCATACGAAGATCTATGTTAAGGCTCCATCAACCATTTAATATGAAGCACTGTATTAATACAGCATATCACTCAGCCATGTCAGGACAGCACTTCCTCAGGTCCTATCTAGATACTGAAGAGAAAAAAAAATAAATGTCCAGATACCTAGCTAATTCTTTAGGGGGAAAAAAAGCTCTTAAACTAAGATATTAATTAATAATTAACACCTTTAGTCCCAGCACTCAGGAGGCAGAGGCAGGCAGATCTTTGTGAGTTCAAGGCCAGCCTGGTCTACAGAGTGAGATCCAGGAAAGGTGCAAAGCTACACAGAGAAACCCTGTCTCGAAAAAGAAAAAAAAAAAAACATTGTCATTGAGGAAGAGGAAGAGGGCACCACAAGCCATTACCTCATCATCATAGGTGACAGGAACTCCCCCGCTCTACCCACAAACATCCCATAGCTCTTGTCTGCTCGTGGAGCACAGGCCATTGTCCCTCAGATAGGCCAGCAGTGTGCCTCAGAAAGTCCCTGCATTCGCCCACGCACTGCTCAGAACACCCGCTTCTGATCATTATTTTCTCGTCTTTCTCCCTGAGACCACAAGCTCCCGCGGCCATGGTTTGTGTCACACAATTTCATTATCTCACCCTGTGACACTAAGAAAGTACTCAATTAGTGTTGATTCCTTGTTTAATTAATCAATATACCAAAAGTTTGCAAGGATGTATGTGTATTGATTTCTTCACAGGGAAGCAATTCTAAATTAATAACTCAGTCATCAAATCACTTGCTCCGTCAGACCAGCCCGGAGCATTCACGTCCTGGGGCATGCGTTGATGTGGAACAAGCTTGAGAGATTTCCCGATTCTAGCTTTTAAGTCTGGGCCTAAAACGCATCCCACTGCCTTTTTCCCTCCCGGTGTGTTTTCTTCTATGGAGAGAAGGTGCCGCTGGGCTAGCCCAGGTGTCCTGCTTCAGTTACCCAATGGTAAGGACACTCTGTGTGAAACCCTAACGCAAACCTGAAGATTTGACCTAATTCAGCTAATGGTCCGAAAGTCTCCTTTGGCCAAACCTAAGCAAATCCCCTTCTCTCCTGAGAAGCCGCTTTCTCTTTGGTCACATTTTCTAGACCAAGTGACATGAAAGGAGACCTAGGAGGGCCCCCTTCCACTCACTGATTTCACTAGACCTAATGGCCATAAAAATACCTCTAAGGATTCTAAATATATCACATATTAACTGAGGGCAAGGATGGTGTTCTGGTTCATTATCCCCACAGAAATTATAGCACGGGCAAAGCCCCTGGAATCCACCAAGAAACTGACTATTTAAAAAAAAGTCAACTCCAGGAAATGTCAGCATAAAATGGGACATCATTGCAGGCACACCATGGTGCGTCCTGGACATCTAACCTTCCAAAGCCTTCCCTGCTCACTTCCCCGATCGCCTTTCTGAGAGAGATTTGAGTTTTCTTCTTAAAAATTCAGGAGCAGTCCTAAAAGTTTAGCTAAACAGAAGTGGTCTTGAAGGAGTAGGAGGATAAGAGGGGATTGTCTGGGGAAAGAATGGCAGACAGACAAGATTAGCGTTAACAGCTACAAGACTCCTGCTCGGAGCAGAAAGCAGGGGAGGCTGGCAGTGCTCCAGGAAGCTTGAGCTATGAAGTCAGCAAACTCGAATTATTCCGTACAAATCCCCACTTGCAAAAGATGAACCAGTTCCATAAACACATCCCCAGCCCTGCCGGCTACATTCGTAGATGCTCGCCTAAATATTCAGACATGAGACCAGAGCATCTACTGACTTAAAAAGCCATTTTTACCCATCGTTTTCTATCACGAAGCAATTATTGCTCAGTCACCACTTTAATTTGTCCTGACAACCTACTGTCAGATGCCACCAAAGAAAACAAATGAAAAATAAAAGCAATAGTTAGTCTCTGGGTGATATATGTTTATGCCAAAAAAGATTACTTAAAAATCCATCTTCCTCCACCTGGGTTGAGAGTCTGTTTGAGGGAACTGTCAGTAAAATCATTACTAATGAAGTACCAGACTATGTGAAACAATGCTTAGAAAGGAAGTTGAAAAGATAAATGCAATCTCAGATGCCACGCGGTTTTCATTAGGCAGGAAGGTGCTGGGAAACAGCGTGCTTTTGGGACAGCCTGTGGGATTACAAGTAACAGAGCATCAAATCCTATCCATCCCATGTCTCCATCCAGTTCTCAACGTTAAACTCCCCCCCCCCCACCATGTCTTGGCACCAGCCCACTGCAATAAAAACAGGAAGGACTTGGGCTGGGGAAAGCCTGGAAGCTGGTGGGCCAGCTAGCCTGGTACACACAGGAGCGAACGAGAGACCCTGCCTCAAAGAAGGTAGAAGATGAGAACCCGATACCCCCACCAAACAGAAAAGAGTTGGCTAAAATTCCCTGAGGTATTAATAATACAACCATCTGTGAATCACTCATCAGTCACCCTGATTCATCTTCTTCCCTTCCTGGATCCCACCATGGAATCCACAGAGGATGCTTGCTCGTGAGAGGGATGGTCTAAGCACATCCACCCAACTAAACCTCTGGCCACTGGATTCTGGATTGGGGATTGGGAATCCACGAACATCTAAAGAGGCCACAGGAAAAGAAGCAGTGAGATGGGAACCAGAGTGCAATGGCCCGCAAAGTGACAACAGATGGTGTACCGTCCAGGCATCCGCATCCCTACCCTTCCCTGTCTCTAGCACCTCAATCTTTTTCAGTTACTTTTTATCAGTTCTTTGACAATGTCTAGCATTTTTTGATCACATTCACCCCTCCTCCCCCAGCTCTTCCCAGATCCACCCCCACTTTCCCACCACCCAACTTTGTGTCCAATATTTTAAACCTATAAAGACCCAGTTTTGCTGCTCAAGTATTTCTAGACATGTGGCCTTCCACTGGAGAGTGGTCAGCTTACCAGAGACCACACTATTAGAGAAAACCGTCTCTCCCTCTCTAACAAACGCCAGCAGCCGCCCAGCGGCCGTGGGCCTTCATTCATGCCCCGCTCTCAGCTGTAGCTGTAGATTTGGTCTGGCTTAGCCAGCGTTTTCCTCCAAGGAATGATGGGAGCAATATCAGTGAGAAGAGGAGAACAAGAATCCACTGTCCCCTAGAGCATTTCCAGAATGTTTACTCACCATTTCCGTTAACTGCCGAATCAACCTAAGAAGGCCCCCTCCCCCAACTTTCTCTTCTCAGGAAGCTCAGGCACTGACGTCATTGCCCTGCCCCCTCCACTGGGCATGGATGAGGAGAGCAGCTACCTCTCATGCTAAGACTGACAAATGGATTTGAAATTGGTTTTCTCCTTGTCCACCATTTCTGCAAAATCTACTTTGGAGGGAGAAAAGATACACTCAACAAAGGGTTCTTGGTGGGAACCTTCCTGGTGAGAGACTATATATCTACAAACCCGGTGGAAGGCTCTGGAGCACAAAATGCCTAGAGCCAAAACCACCACAGCTGTGAGATTACATAGTAAGACCCCAAAAGTAGGCCACCCTGAAAGGCTGGACTTCACCGCTAAATGCACAAGGAAAATATTCTTCTTGTATTTATTGAGTGTAATTTTCCTTAGAAGTAATACTTGCCTTGTTTCACTGTTGGGAAATTTGGATTCTTTTGCTTTGAGTAAAACATTTCAAGTCAAATGGTCAGCTCATGTGCGCAGAGGGTGCAAGAACTCTCCCACATACTGAGCCCTGAGTGCTGTGTAGAAAGGACCACGTCTCTTGACTCAGTACTGCTCCTGGAATCCAGCCAGCGGCAGGATCCAAGAGCCCATGGGGACAGACTGGAGACCCAAGGATACAGGCCCTGCGGGAAACCAGTGTATAAAGCAGGGACCAAGGAAGAGTTACCTCAGTGAACTCAGTGCTCACCCGGTCTCAGGGGAGGTGAGGATGAGGCAAGGCTGAAGACCCACAGTTGAGTAAGCAGAACGGAGAGGCTCTGTAGAGTAGACTGCAAGTCACGGCTGGCCCCAGGCATGAATGGAAAAGCACGACACAGAACCCTGTGGGGACAGACTGACGCGGTTCACTTAACTCTTGCTGCCTTTTCTTTTGGGCTGGCATAGGAGTTACAGATGAACTGTGACGTAGGAGTTACAGATGAGCTGTGACGGCCATTCCACACTTTCACATCGCTCTTGTGGATGACATGAGGCTGAGTCTCAGGGCCTGACTCTTTTTTAAGGTAATTGTTCTTACCCGAATCTGTTCGTCTGTACACCCCACATCAACGGCCTCTGTGCTATGATGTGCACGATTGGCATGTCTGTGAGTTACACTTATTAAACAAAATCTCTCGCATGTCTATATCAGTGGACTCTAGAACCAGATTGTGATTCTTCCCCAATGTGTGTGGGCATAATCTAATCTCTTGAGGACATGAATAAGTCAAAAGGTAGAAGAATTCTTCCTTTTTGCTACCTACCTATCTGCTTGAGTAGGAAAAGCCACTTCAACAGTTTCAACCTTTAGCAGTTAACCCATTCTCCCTCTGGGCTCTCGGGCCTTTGAACTTGGACTTAACTATACCACCAGCTTTTCCAGGTTTCCAGTTTACAGACCTGTCATGGAGTTCTCTTTCTCTGTGTTAGATGAACCCACTTCCTCAATATATATCTATATACATAGGTAGGTAAACTTGTCTTTTGTCTATATAATCACATACATGGGGGCTGGAGAGATGTCTTAGCGGGTGAGAGCACTTGCTGCTCTTCCAGAGGACCTGAGTTCAGTTCCCAGCACCCACACCAAGTGGCTCACCAATCTACATGTAACTCAAGTTCTAGGTAGCTAACACCTCGTGCCTCCAAGGACACCTGCATGCACATACAGACACATCCACTTATACAGAAGCTAACCTAGTATTATGGAGTTTAGATTCCAAAATAAAACTCCCTGCGTGACTCTGAAAGTCTTGTTAAAGTGCTAACAAGCTGGGGTGCCTGGATCATCTACATAATTCTACAGGAAGCACACACGTGCAGTCTCAGCACTGGAGAGATGGGGGTGGAAGTGGTAGAGCCCTAGAAGCCTATTGATCACTAATCTTGACAATATGGGGCAAGTTCCAGGCCAATGAGAGTTTCCATCTCAAACAAAAAATGGAAGGTGCCTGAGGAGCAACATCCTAGGCTTTCCTCTGCTCTAAACACGTGTACACACCACACACACACACACACACACACACACACACATGCATGCGCACGTGCACACACATACACACACAAGGGAAATGACATAAAAGTTCACTCCTTGAAATGCTGATCTTCCTTGTCAAAATGTCTTTTGTGCCCACCCTAGATAGTCTTACTATTTCTATCCACTTATCTGCCAGCCTGCCTCTAAATAACCATTGCATATTCCCAGACCACAGTGGGGGGAAAACAGGCTGGTGTTAGGGATTGAGTGTAAAATGGTAATACGTGCCCCCTATAGACACGTGTGTTTGAACACTTGAGCTGTGTGGGGAAAGGTGGGACTTTAGGGGTAAGGCCTTGCTGGAGGAAGTGGGTCACTGGGAAGCAGGTCCTGTGAGTCCTCGCCCTCTCTGGGTTCTGTCCCGCACCCACCCTTTCTGCCTCATAACCCACAAAGATGTGAGGAGAGCCAGCCACACTCTGCTGCTGCGATGAACTCTACCCTCCTTCCTCCACCAAGATGGATGATTTCCTTCCAGTCCATGAGCCAAGTATAAACCCTTCCTCCCTCCCTCCCTCAGGTTCCTCCAGCCAGGTATTTAGTCTCAAGAGGTGACACATGCAGCTGAGGAGGTTGAGGCTCCGCAGTGAATATATTTGATGTCCCCTGGCCCGGGTCTTCTGTTCTCTGCACCCTTGGCCTTGGTCACACGGGGTTCTGAGATGGACATGAGGATGCTCTCACCCCCAGCCATCCTTTCCAGAACCATAGCCTCTTAGACTGTGGCCGAAACCCTTCCTGAGTGGCTTGAAAGGGGGAATCTGGCTCCATCAGGGGCCTGCACAACCCTGGAAACCAGAGCCCAAGGATCCCTGTGCAAAGCCAGCAGGTGCTCCTTCTTTGGGAAGCCAAACTGTGTCATAAAATCTTGACTTCAGAAAGGTACAAACTGGAATTTATTTCTCATACCCATAGCATTTTAATATTTTCCCAATGGTTCCTAAAAACACCCCTACTGTTTCGCTTTAAGTGTCTCCAAGCTCTTTTGAAATTTGTAGTGATTGATACAGGTTTTTAAGTCAGTTTATGGCTGTCCATGTCACATTTTCTCCTGCTTCCCAGTCTTGTCTGGCACCGTTGATTGGTAAGTCATCTGATTTTGTCTTTTATTGGGGGCCTTTGAATTTATCAAAACGTTGAAATGATTCATCAATCAAAATAAAACACTTCAAAGGGATTCGAATTAAACTTCAGAATTCTGAAATGCACACCCAGCAGCCAGCTTCTTGCATTTCAGCTGCAGGACAATGAGCCTCATGGGGAATTCTGCTAAAAAGATCTAATGAGTATGTAAGTCACATTCGAAAATCATCTGCTGTCCATATGTTTGCATTCATGTGTGTGCATGTGTGTGTGTGTGCATGTGTGTGTGTGTGTGTGCATACACGCACATGCATTTTTCCCAACATCCATTTGTTATGTAGCCAGATAGGTTTTAGGCCATTCATTTCCACCAATCTATTCCCTGAGCCTCAGAGGTCACTGTAAAAGAAAAATAAGGTGAATTCCTTAGGGGTATGGGAGGGGAGGTGGGGGTGCTGGAACAAATCTTGAAAAACCAGTTGGTTCCAGTTTTGTCTGCACCCGCACAGGCATAAAGCCTAAGTCCTTGTGGTCATTGTTGTGAAATGAACATTCCAGAAACATATGTCAAACATAGTTGCATGATTGTATGTTTTCAAAGTAGCTGAGTGTTGGTGCTAATTTTATTAAAAGATTGTGCATTCGAAACGTTCGTCCAGATTTTAGAGAAAAGTAATAGGCGTGGGATAAGCGGGGGCGGGACGGGGGTTGAGGAAGGCAATGATGGCAGAGGGCACACAAAAGAACCCCCTTCTGAAATCTGTAAGTGGGAAATCCATCTTCTGCTGGTGACAGCGGATTAAACATGCGGCCACTAAACTAAAGCACTGAGACATGCACACATCAACACATCCCTAGAAACATTTGGAAAAAAATGGACGCCTAAGTACCCCCAAAGCTGTCCTGACTGCGACAGACTGGCAAGCCTGGTGAATGGAACATGGAGAGGGCACGTCAAAGGCTGCCTGCTGGGTCCGGAGATTCTAGGCGAAGAACAGAAAGTATAAGCAATATCTCAACACAAGGTGTGAGGGTTCTGGCCAGAACAGCAGAGCTGTGTGCATGGATCTGGTGGCTCGCTCTCAGGCAGCCAGCAACCCGGGGACTTCGGGCCAGGTCTACGGCATGAAAGGTGAAGTGGCTAATCGGGATCGATGGTTGGGGGCTCCTAACAGCACACTCAGGAGGGAGGACACAACTCTGCAGAAGTGAATCCACGGAAGGTTTGGACAAAAATGTATCAGTAAATGAGTCCCATGGAGATCAGGTTTACAGAGCGTGCTAAGTTACTCGGTTTTGTGTGTGTCATGGCTACCTTCAGTCTTTCTGCTGGTCCATGTTGTGTGTGCGTTGGTTTCAATCTTTCTCCACCTTATTTTTTGAGGCAGTATTTCTCGTTAGACCTGGAGCTTGCTGATAAGGCTAAGCTGGCTGGCCAGAGCGTCCCGGGGATCTGCCAGCCTCCATCTCCAAAGCCTTGAGATTATAAGGGGCTCCAAGCGCCAGGCCTGAGTTTTCGTGTGGGTTCCGGGTATTGAACTCGGGTCTTGGTGTTTGCCAAGCAAGCGCTTCTCAGACTGAGGGCGCTCCCCAGTCAACTTAAAACCTTTACAAAAGTAAGAATGGGGAAACGGGACCAGACTAAGATCTTGCCGGCAGGATTCACCCACAGAGGCTGTGTGGAGCTGCCTGGGTGAGGAACGGAGGTTCTCACTTTGAGACTTGCATGAATGGAGGTTGACGCCACGCTTCATGGATACAAGTCAGCTCAGTTCTGTCAGCATGGCTGCCCTGGAAGATCTAGCCCCACAAAGCTCCCCGTAATGATGAATGTCAAGAACCTTTGGGTCCTCAATTGCTAGACAGGGTCACTTACATACAGTCCCCAAGTTACTCCCCAGGCTGGCTGGCCACTCTGTGGAAGCAGAAGCCAATGGGGTGCAGAGATGTGACAGCATGGGGACTCAGGATGGAGAGAGGGAGGGAGGCAAGATTAGCCCTTAACTGGCTTGTTCACAGCTGCCCACCTGAGTCTTCTCTCTCTCTCCCTCCCTCCCCCCCCCCCCCCCCCCCCCCCCCCCCCCCGCCCCCAGGGAGGTTGTGGCCTTCTTTCATTTCTTGTGTCAGATTTCAGGCTGACACGTGGTAATTGATTCCGCTGCTGGTTAGACGGCTGTTAAGTGCCAGAGATGAAGTTTCAATGAAAACAAATAGCACTTCACGGGCCTGGCCTTGCAGGGCTCAGCTTCTGTTGTGGTCGAGGCCGGGGGTGTGCAGTTCAAACCTGTGTGAGCCGGTTGTGTCTATGTCTGCACTTCCCTAGCTCACCTTCACCAGCTCCCAACGTGCAGGGACAGCCAGGTTGTCCCAATGTCACTTCTGGCTCGACGACGACGACAGTCTAGCGGCAGGTGGAGGTTCAGGAGAAAGAGATGGCGACGTGCGCGCTAAGCCTCCTAGGTTAGAGTCTCCCCAGAAAAGACTTGACTCAGGAAAGCAAAGTGCACTTCTGGGTGACAGATGTGCACGGTGTTGACATTCTGTTCCACCACAGGCCAGGAGAGGCGTTAGCACTGACCTGGGTCCATAGGAAGTTCAAAGCTCTCCCAGTAACCCTTTGGGTTATAGTCATGGCTGCCTTCTGCGTTCCCCAGACCCTCCTTTAGGACTAAAGGATGCTGGGATATGGATGTCTGGGGATGACTCTCCTAAGGGAAGGCTGCCTGAAGGAGCCACTTTGCCCAAGATTACAACTCTCCTGTGACAATTGACACAGGCCAGGTACATGGCAGCCTGAGCCTCTAGCTCCAGCTCAGCGAGGCACTGAAGGTTATACCAGCTTCCCATGGTATCGCAAGAGCACCTCCCAGAAACTTCTCTGTCCCTTCCTGCTGAATTCTTCCTGAACCACAGAACTGTACCCTACAAACACCCAGAGATCTAAGTCGCCACAGAGTCCACCTTCTGGGAGCAGGAGGGGGATTTGGGAGTGATTAACTCCACAGGTGGGTGACTGCCATTAACACAGGTGGCACAGGTTCTGGAGGGCCCATCACAAACCCCCTTCCCAGGATGAACTATGGTGGCCTATCAGAGACAGAACTGCACAGGCCCCTACTCCACAACACGTGATTGAGAAAAACGTGTAGAAAAAGACGACAACATTGACGGAACTTCATGGAAGTTACTGAGGGCAACTCACATCTGGGAGAGAAACAAAGAAAGGCTGAAGCCCTCGGCCATTGATGAAATGTTACACGTCAAATCCAGAGGCGTCTTGGTCACCGTAGAGACAGACTTCCTTTCATCCAAAAGCAGGAAGGGCTGTGGATGGGGCTCACTGCTGTGGTCTGAATGTATCCCCTAAATTTCCTTTTCTAGAGACCCAATCCTTCAGGCAACGGCATCAGGAAGTCACCGGCTGGAGGTGTTTGCGTCCTAGGCCTCTGCCTTCAATGGGTGTGCTAACATTATCCTCGGAGGGGTGGGACCTTCCCTAAGGAAGCAGGTTTGTGATGAAAGCGAGTCCAGCCATCTCTTCTCACTCAAACTCACACTCTCTTCATCTTTAACCTTTTTTCCATAAGATAATGCAGTACAAAGACCCCCATCAGATGTAAGCCCCGCCCCCCATCTTAGACACCCCATCCTCTAGGAATACGAAAATATCTCTGTTCTTTATAAACTACACAGTCTCGGGTATTCTGTGATAGGAGCACAAAACAGACTGAGACACACCAGAAAAGAGTGTTGGCAGGGTGACATCATCTGGACTAACACACTGTGTGCTGCCATAATGAAATAACACAAACTAAGTGATTTAATCATCTTGTGGTCCTGGAGGCTACAAGTCCAAGGTCAAGTGCATTGGCCAGGGTTCTCTGCTAAGTAGAACCCACACAGAGAGAAGTGTGCAAGGAGATTAACTATGAAGATTGGGTGTCATGATATGGGGGTGAAGGGATGCACACATCAGCCACCTCCAAACTTGAGACCCAGAAAAGCAGGTAGCATGATTCCAGCCAAGGCTGAAGGGCTGAGGACCACACGGCAGTGGGGCTGGTGGGTAGACAGTCTGAGCGCAAGGACTCAAGACATAGAAGGACCAGGGTCCGAGGGAAGCAGAGGGAGGTAGAGGTCCCCGCTCACTTCCCCTACATCTTCATCTGCCTGACCCTCAATGGGCTGAGTGGTACCTGTGGGGACTGATGTGGGCTATCCTCTGCTACCCTCCTACAGACATAGCTAGAAAGGTTTTACAAGCTAAGTGGTCAGATCTTCATCCAATTAAATGGACACAAAATCAGCCATCTCACCAGACGTCAGCAGGGCTGGCTCCCCTTGAGACCTATCTCCGTGGCTTCCAGGTGGCAGCCTTTCCCCTGTTACATGCCATCTGTGTCACAGTCTCTTCTAAAGATGGTGGTCCCGTCATCCTATCAGACAAGGCTCTACCCTAACAGCCTCACTTTAATGGAATTATCTCTTTAAAGACTCCGTTTATAAATGAGAGTCACATTTTGAGGATCCTTAGTCCCATTCCCAGACTTAAGTAAGGTTTCAGACTCCAAATGATAGACGCTGACCCTAGAAGCCTGACGTAGTCTCTTTACACATGGGCTGTTGCCTCCTCGGACCTCACTCACCTGCTGGGTCCAGCTAAGTAGTCCACCTGTTTCTACAGTTGTCTACCCACGCTGCTGGGTTTTCTGCTGTGTCCACTAAAACCCATCAGTGAGCCAGCCTGAGGCAAAGTTTCTCAGAGTGCTTCTACCCCAGTCCATAAAAACATCCCATCCTGGGGCAGGGGTGAGGGCCGTGAATCGGGATTTGTAGAGCTTAGAATAATCCCTAGAATCAAGGCTGCAGACACACAGTCCCCGTCCAAACACTTCTTGATCACTCCGTGCACTCCCTGTGGAAACCAGATGGGTCCTGGGGGATCGGACGCTGTCCACCCCAAACTGAAACAAGTAGCTCCCAGCTGCTGCGAAGCATCCTGCCAGATGCTGAATCATCACTAAATCACAGGCTCAGGTACATGGCATGCAGCCTTTGATCTGGAAAGTGAGTTCTTTTCATCTCTGCCAAGAAACAAGGGTCAGGAACCATCTCTGTTCGCCCAGCGGAGACAATAGTATTCCCTTACAGTGTCGACCCAGGGCTGTGGAAGCATCCCCCCACTCTGTCATAATACAGTCTGAGGAGACAAGGCCCAGCTGGACTGCTGGAGAACATCAGCCCGGCAAAAACATCATGTGAGCCAGGCCTGACGAGCAAGAAGCGGAAAGACACGAGAGGCCTTGGTAAGTCACACTCATGCAATTAAAGAGTGGGAAGAAATGTCACCTGGGATTCGGGCGCCTGCCTATCACTTGTAACGGTCTAAGATCTGGGGCATTCCAGAGCATCTTAGCCAAGAAAAAGAACAAATTCCTGTCTCTTGCCCCTCCTAAACAGAGAATGCACCACACCTAGTCAATTCCTTTGGGGTCTGAGAGACATTAACTTCCCAGGAGGGAACACTTCATACCCCATTACCATCAATACAAGGGATGCCAGTTTTGGTGGGAGACAGAAGATTGGAAAGGCACTGCTCAAGGTCCAGGCTGAAAAACAAGCGGCTCTAACAGCTTGGTCTCGTGATCCAGCAGCCCTCGTGATAGGAAAAGAATCACAGTGAAAACAAAATAAGAACTGTGGAGTTCAGGGAGATCTGCATTAGGATTTCTACAACCGAAAGACAGAATTCTGGAGCAGTAACGTGGGAGAGGAGGGAACGATGGGTCCTGGTCCTGCTCCAGAATACTGCAGGTGGCTTCCTAAGCACCTGTGTTCAAACATACATGAGCAGAGACAATGCTTCCTTTCTTCCTAAAATAAACAGGTATCAGAGAAACGTGGTTAGTAGGTGGCCTAGTGGAAGACTATAAAACCTGTAAAGTCATTCCCAGCATGCTGGTGGGCCCCGGAAGACACGGAACACCTACCCGTGGTCACTGAGGAACCCGTCATCTGAGAACCAGCTTTCATTAAAGCCTCACCGTTGGGCAGCCCCAGCAGCATCTACTGTCTGATGGAAAATACAGTAGCTTACGTTTGTTTGCAGCTGTAACTAAATACCAGAAAGGTAACCTATAAAGAGTGGAGACTGGGAGGTCTCAAGATCAACAGGCACCCAGTGGCTCGTCTGCTCCTGAGTATCCAGTCCCGAAATGCACACCAAGAGTGCAGAAATCTTCATGTAAAGATCCTGGGGCAGTTCAGGTCGTGTGGGTTCCTTAACTAGCATCTAGGAGATCCGGGCGGCCGTAACCAAGAACAAAAATGCAAACACACACGACCCTGTGGGTCTGAACACAGAGCTACTCCCTCTCACAGCCACCCTGCTAGATTGTAGTCTATCGTTCATCTTGTTTAATGGCTGAGAAAATTGAAGCTAAGTGACTTATCCAAGGCCGTGGGACAGCCAAGGAAGGGGCAGTATTCACACTTGACCTAACCCTAGAGCTTTGGCTTAGTCAGGAGACCATAGTCAAAAAAAAAAAATTTTTTAAGGTAGTTAAGGAAAGAGAAGAGAGCTGAAAAATCTATACCCCAAGAGGCACGTGCAGCTCACAGGACCAGTCTCTGAGTTTACCGGCAAGGAAGGCAGGTTGGTTTGCCAATACTTCTGCGGGCGTTGGAGCAGCTTGCAGTAGCGCATGAGCGCCACCTAGTGGCTACACAGAATTGCTGCCACAGTAACCTCTGGGATCTGCTCAGTGCAGATTTTGTACTAAAACCTAACAGAGGCAAGGTTCTAGTTCCAGGAGGAGAAATTCCCTCACTTTCAGAAGATGGT